GTTTGGGGCTTAAGGCTTTAGGGTTTAGGGTGTAGGGCTTTGGGGCCTGTAAACTTGCAGGTCTAGATCCTGAACCCTAAACCCCTACACCCTAAACCCCTAAACCCCTAACCCCTAAACCCCTAAACCCTAAACCCTAGACCCTAAACCCTCAACGAAGTCTAGGAGTTTCTATAAATTGGGGGGGGGGTCCCTTTCAAAGGTTACATAGGGGTCGGTAATGATGTTTTGGGGGTCATATAGGGTTTGGGTTTGCCAAGAATAGGGTTTTATAATCAAGGTTCTCCTAGGTGAGGATCTCAATTGGGGCCCCCTTTTCTATGGAAGCCTGCGAATTTGTCTTGGCAAAGTGCATTTCTGTTGGTGCATATTCTCTCCAAAGCCTGAACCCTACACCCTAAGGCCAGGCTTAGGATGCCACGAACATTCCCCGTAGCGGGCAGCCAGATAAGGCATAGTCCCCCGTAAGTAGATAGAATGTGGCTTTGGGTATATTCTAATAAGATCCCCATATACCCTATATTCTATCTACTTCAGGGGGACTATATACGAGTATGACGTTTTGTGCGTTTTTTGAGCATGCTGTGTGCAGCGCTGGCTTCTGAGGATCTCTAGGTGAAGATTTCATGTTCATCCTATTCTGTAACTTGCTAGCGGCAAGCTCCTCTCTACTTGCAAATGTACAGATCCCACAGCCCTGAGACCTGGTAGCTTGTCCCCTCAACCGTAAACCCTAAACCCTCACAGGACAGGCTCAACCTCTAGCTGATAGTCCCCTTTAGGTGGATAGAATAAAGAATACACCAAAATAACGATAAGATCCTCAGCACCACATACCCCATATTCTTTCTACTTAAGGGGGGCTGTACATCTTCCTTCTACTTAAGGGGCCTTTAGCAGTCAATCCTTCGAGCCCTTGACTGCTCGAGATCTTCCCAACTAATCCTCTCAAAGTCTCTCGGTATTGACCTGTGACCTCAAGCTAACTACAGCTTAGTACTACAATTTAATAGTAGACAACCGCTGAATGAGCAGCACTAAAGCTTAAACCCTGAACCGTAAACCCTAAACCCCGAACCCTAAACCCTATACACACTGAACCCTAGACCCTAGACCTAAACCCTAGACCCCCCACCTACACCCTTCGCCACAAACCCTGATTGTGGCGTCGAGATACCAAGTTCGCTTCTTCCATCCGTCGCCGCCAGCTGAACTGGAAAGAGCGGATCTCCTCTAATGCCGTTTCAGGGTTCAGGATTAAGGGTTTAGTTTAGTTGGTAATATTGCGGGGGGGAGGGATGGTGGGATGATGGAAAAGAAACTGGAAACTCATATCTAGGGTGTATTGTTTGGGGATTGGGGTTTAGGGCAGCTTCCGGAAAAAATCAAGGAACCTTACACCTATTGCGGTCTTATTAGGGTAATATTGGGACTATGTTGGGATAATGGCAAAACGGAAACTACTATTTAGGGTGTAGGGTTTAGGGTGGCCTCCGAAAAAATTAGCGAGCGTTAAAAGTTTTAGGGTTTAGGGTTTGCTTTTAAAAGCTTCAAGAAGGGTGTGTATATATATATATGGATATCTAGGGCTAAGGATTTCCGACGCTAGGGGTTCCTGCCATAACGATTATACCTGGTGGGTGACTATATATCATTTGGAGGCTTTGACAGGAGTTGGGGCGCAATAGGCATGGTACTGTTTATCCGCATCATATACCACGCGCAACCTACGACAGCAATCGCTCATGAGAATCTGAATTCTGCAAGATACAAACTCTGGGGCTCCAAGTCTATAAGCCTTCCATGCTGGGGGCCGCAAAGTCTAATATTCCATACTTTGAGCCCTGATTCCTATAACCATTCCACTTTAGGCCCTGAAGTCTGTATGTATATGTACCACTTTGGGCCCCAAAGTCTGTTCGCTGGCTACTTGGAGCCCTAGGGCTCTAGGGAAAGAGTTCGGTCTGCGGGTCTGGTTTTCTCATCGCCAGAACTCTGTCATCCAAAAACCTGAAATCTACACAGCTTGTGGGCATCAATGACATCTCAATTAGGTGACACACAGTAGTAGTGACAATTAAAGGGTTCCAGTGATTATAGTAGGGTACCACTATTGCAGGTTGGGGAGTCTACCTAACAGTTACATCTCAACCCTAAACCCTAAACCCTAAAGCTTTAACCCCGGGTCCCTAAACCCTCAAGTCTGAAAACCCAGAGCTCCAAGACTTCAAAACCTAAAGCCCCTAGCTGTCTAAAACTCCAAACCCTAAACTCTACCAACCCTAAACATCCAAAACTCTCAAATTTTAAAGCCCTAAACACGCAAAACCCTGAACCCTACACCCTAGACCCCAAAACCCTAAACCCTAATACCTAAACCCCAATCCCTAAACCTCTCATCCCTTAACCGCTGCGTGCCTCCCACCAGCGTGTGGCCTCCTCGCCTGTCAGTGGCAACTCGTAGGACGGGTCCCAAAAGTATTGGAGTTTTCCCAATTAGGGGTACCTTACCCTAAACCCTAAACCCTAAACCCTATACCCTATTTTGGGGTCCCTATGATAAGGATTAGAATGTGCTGGTGTCTATATTGGGGCCGCCTTTTTCAGGCAAACTGCCTACTAGTTTTCAGGGTTCAGGGATTAAGGGTTTAAGGTTTTAGGGTTTAGGGCTTTAGGGTTTCGGGGTTTAACCTTTAGGAGGCTTGTGGTTTTAGGGCTTTAGGGTTTGGGGATTACGGATTTGGACCATTTTCAAGATTAAAGTGCCAGAGTGGTACTTTGAGGGCACTGAAAAATCATCCATGAATAGGCCCCCTTAGTAAGAGCAGGGCATCTACCATGATTCTCAAATTGTACTGGCAATGGTCATTTGGGCTGTTTGCCGCGCCCTAAACCCTAAAACCTGAATCCTAAACCCTAAACCCTAATCCTGAACCCTAACCCTGAAATTCTAAACCCTAAGCCTGAAAACCCAAGTCCTTTAGGCCTTCGGGCTTACCCCAAAACTACCAAGATTCTTCCTGGTGCTTCAGCTGAGCCTTAGGCGAGGATTGTGAAAATGCCGCAAGGCCCGAAATCCCTAAACCCTAAAACTCTGAACCCAAAACACCATGCCCGTAAACCCCAAGCCCTTAGACACCAAACCCCTAAAACCCCAAACCCTCAAGCCCTAAACCCCTAAACTCTACATCCCCAAACTGTACACCCTCAAACTCTAAGCCCATAGCCCTAAACCCCCAAACCCTAAACCCCTAAACCCTAATCAGCCTATTGTTGATCCTGGCTATGAAGCCACAACTCTATTCAGGCAGGGATCTCTCTTTTTGTCATGCGTAGCACAGTGAACCAAGATTCACTTCTTCAGCTCTGTACGTGGGCGCCGCGAGCAGTCGTTCTAGGATCTGATGGGGGGATCTGTAGGTTTGTAAGTTGGGTCCTACCCCCACCCATTAATAGTCAAATAGACTACAGGGGTCATATTAGGGGCTCCATGTTAGTATATGATAAATGGGCCGCACTAATGGTCAAATAGTCTATAGGGGTCGTATTAATTGATCTATCTTCTTATTCTGATAAAGTTGATCCAGCTGTTAATGGGCGGGGGCAGTATCCAAGGTATAGGCTTTTTGGTGGCCCCCCACGTCTGGGAGAGACCTGGCAGTCTTCTGCAAGCATCATGCGAAGGCCGATGCTTGCTCTATCATGAGATGTCCCAAATCGGGTTGCGTGCAAGGGCCCAAGAAATTACAAATATCATCTATTTCAGGTAGTCTAGAATATATATATTTATATAAGAAAGATAGGACCATTGTCTAGGTGATTTTCCCGACTAGCTGCTTGATATACAGTGCCCAATTGCCATTTCATTGTTGACTTTTCTCCTCAATCTGATTATTCGTTTGTCAAAGCCAACACCCTCATAAGTAGCTTCCATTTCACGTTTGTGCTTTTCCATGTGACTCATAGTCTAGACTCCTAGCATCCCCCTCCATAAGCCCTATAATACTCCTACATAATCCACTATATAACCCACCTGTAAGGAATTTAGACTATAATCCTCAGAAAACTCGACGTCGCCGGACCGTCTTGCACTGATCATCGGGCCTTTCATTTGAAAGACCCAGCATTGCCACTGCTGCCGGGGATAAGGCAAGTGTCTGGACCTGGGAATTTTTGCAAACAGGAGTTCTTGGGGACCCTAGGGACGCCGGGAATTGTAAGGGATGCTAGGGGGGTACTTCATAATGATGCTGTAATCATTTTGAGAACTGCCCGCCTGTGTGTTCTCTGATGCAAACAAAGCGCACTGGCGCTGCAGCGCCTCCGGGCCATGGAGCACTGCAGCTTCAGCAATGGCCGCGAAGGTCTCTTCTGAAAGCATGCTTCTGAGAAGGTCTGCAAGGACATGCACCGCACTCTTTACCTCCCAGCAATGAGCTAATGCCAGCGCCTCTAGCGTAGCCTGACAGTCTGGATCACTGCGCGTGGAGCTCATGTAAAGTATGTCCAGCAACAAAGAGACTCCAGCCAGGGAAAATTGCTCCACCTGAATGGATTTACTCTTGCCTTCTTGCATAGTCGATGACAGCATTGCCTTCAGAACGGGGGAAGAAGCCACAAGGACAATGTCATGACAGGATACCACGCCATCGGCCGTGGCAAGAGCCACATTGTGAGTGTCGGTCATGTTCCGCATCACCTCCTTCGCAAGTCTTACAAAACAAACATGATGCTAAGTTTACTGTGGGTCTCCCACTCTCAACCCTAAACCCTAAACCACTAAACCCTAAACCTATAGCTCACATCATGCCCTAAACCCTAAACCCTAAACCCTGAACCTATAGCTCACATCATGTCCTGTGGCAGTTGTGTTGGGCAGCGCAGATTTTGCAGCACAAGCTGACTTGACTATAGTAGGGGTGTAAAAAGTTGAGGGCACCCTTTTCTATAACTATGCAAGGAATCTAGGCACCTAGTTATAGTCCCCCTTAAGTAGATAGAACATGGGGTAGATGGGGATCTTATTATGATATATAACCAAAGCCGTACTCTACCTACTTAATTGAGAGGGACTGTACCCCATTAACCCTAAATAGTAGTTTCCATTTTGTTTTCCATTATCCCTATATAACCCCAACATACCCCTACTATAACCCTAATATAGCCCTATTATAACCCTAATATAAACCTTCTATAACCCTAATATTCATCAGACAAGGCTCCCAGCGACTGACGGCACTTTGATCTACGGCGACCTTCCGATCCAATGCATCCGCCGTCCGGGCGATCGCGTCGAGGACACCCTGGAAGTACTGGATGAAGGGCAATGCCTCCGAAACACCAAAACCCCTATACCCTAATCCTTAAACGCTAAACCTTTAATCCCTACATCCTTAATCCTTAAGCCGAAATCCCTAAATCCTAAACCCTAATCCCTAAATCCTATTGTTTAAGCCCTAAGCCCTAAATTCTAAGGCAATGCCTCCGGTGCGAACGGTTGCAACTCCAGCAGCCATGCGATGGTCAAACTAACCTAAATCAAGCTCATGGCTTGCAGGCGCTTAAGGGGTGAGTAGGGGAATAAGGGTGTAGGGTTTAGGGGTTCACGGGTTTAGGGTTAAGGGTTTGGGGTTTAGGGTTAAGGCTCTAGGGTTTAGGGGTTGAGGGTTTCAAGGGTGTTGGGGGTTAGGTGTTGCTGCGAGATGAACCATAGTCTAAACTCCTAGTATCCCCCTTAAGACCCCCTATAGTAGTCCCCTATTTAGATTATGGCTCATATAGTGCTGAAGAAGAGGAGTGTCGTGCTGTGCGACATGCTGCCGTGGCTTGACCGCGGTTGGCCGTGTAACACATTTGGGTGGTAGTCCAAATTATGGTCCCTTTTTGGGTACCCTAAATAGTAGGTGCCGTATTATGATAGGGATCCAAAAAGGGACCATAATTTTGACAACCACAAATTACCAGCCCCTTGCTTTCCCAAGCGGCCGAGCCACAGAAACCTCTTTTCCTATTAGCATGCAGGACTTAAACTCAGTTAGGTCCATCGAGGTCAACAAGGCAACATATTTCTACAACCCAGCTTCTTGCTTCCGAAAGGGAGAGATGCCAATTCGCTGTGAAGGTCTAAAGGGCCGAAAGGCTCCAAGCTTACACGGTTGACCATGAGGCCTGGCAGCTCTTAGGACGACCCCCAGAAGGCCCATACACCGACGCCGGCTTTGTTTTGGATATATTCAGCCGCTGGCCCCGCCCCCTTCAGCCTCAGGATGCCTCAGGCCCCCTAAATAGTAGTTTCCATTTTATTTTCCATTATCCCTATATAAACCTAGTCCCAAAATTCACTCGCAGAGTCTGCCTGGGGTCCCTCAAAAACCACCGTGCTACCGACCCCGTGGCTGCGCTGAGGTGGGGCAGGTCGAGGGGAAAAGGCGCCGCGGGTGGGCAGCCTAAGCCTTGAGTTTAAGGTTTAGGGTTATGGGAGCATGTCGTCATTATGCCCTACAATGGTACCTATATAGAGATTACTAAGATTATGAAGCGGATCCACTCCCCCATTCCCCCCCTTGAGCACAAGTTAATCAAGATGAGCAATAACCAAATCCCTTGCGAAGGAAGGCGATCGTCACTGGTTGTGTACAGAGTTTAGTCCCCCCCTACATCCTAAACCCTCAATCAAGCTCTCGAGTTCCCTACGCCAAAGCCAATCTACGCTCTTTGAACGACCTTTTGACTGTTGGAACCTCACAAGTGCGCGTATTCAGCTACCACCCTGGATCCTACACCATCCTGTTCAGCGACTAAGGAAAATTTGGGCTATACCATGAACCCCTATTTAGTGACTAGGGAAGTTTTTGGGCACAGGTTACGGGACGAACGAACAAACAAAAAGGAGGACCTTTAGCAGACGAAGCGACTGCAGTGTGACCGTGGTAGTCCACTTCCAGCTTTGGGAACGACCTACCACTTCTGATGGACAAAGTCTGAAATTCATCATCGAAGGATGGCAGATGGCGAGGAGGGGCCGCTTGATGTGGGTCTGCCCCGGCGTTCAACATCCACTCAATGATCTGAAGGTAGGTCTTAGGCTTCTGCCTCATGCCCATCAAGATGGCAAAGTGCAACGCTGGAATTGGGCCCTTGGAACAATATTTCCACCGGAAATTCGATGGGGTGAAGTTCCTCAGGCGCGGCAAGTCACCCAGCTTTATGAAGCCGAGTATGGTGTAATTCTGGCAGCCTGTGCTGCGTCTTGATGGGCACAACTGCCCCATGGAGCTAGAAGGTGTCGGAAAAAATGATCCTACACCGTTACCGACTCCACCCGGCTCTGTATACTCATTGTCCATAGAACATTGCAAATGGCCTGTTTTGTTCTGATTGTAGGATTCGGAGCGGCATTCTCTGTACAGCCCTTTGCAACTTCCATTGTTTCGGGGCCATGCCTCCCAAACTGACTGAAGAGAAGTATTGACGTTCAGAATGCATGAAAAGAGCTGCGGATGTTCTGGCGAACTTCGTCCGGAGTAGTTGATCGGGCACGGGGGCCTATGTCACGGACTGCATATTGAAATGCTTATCAATGTACCCTGAACCCTAGACCCCTGATCCCTAATCCCTACACCCTAAACCCTAAACCCTAAAACCCTAAACCCTGAAACCCTACCACCCTAAACCCTAAACCCCGAAACCCTAAACCCTAATGCACTAGCATCTTAGTGAAAAGGCTCGCGGGCTGATGCCCTGGCTCCAAGTTCTTACAGAATATTTTGGTAGATTCCCAAAAGAGTTGCACCCCAAATATAGACCCAATATTGGAAAATCCTTATTATGGAGGCCCAAAAGGGTCTCAGAAAACCTTGGGAAACTCCTACTCAAAGCCTAAACTCTAAATCCCTAAACCCTAAACCCAAACTATATGGACTACGCAAGGCACCTCCAAGCCAGGCACAAAAGTTTAATGATTTTACGTGTGATTTTGAGTTGAGGCCGATACTACGAGTACTTTGAACATCCGCGCAATCTTGACATTTAGGGGAGCTTGCATGTTTAGGGCCTTTTTTCATCATTCGACAGAAACTTCAAGGCCTCAGATACTCTAAAACCTAAAGCCTAAATGGCTCCTGGCAGGGTCTCCGGGTCTTCCTGCATCCTAAAACTGCAGCCCCTCCCCTCATGTATAGCGCCCCACTCTTTGTGAGAATCACCTCCTCTAATAACAATCCACTCATTCCGCCCCCATAGCCTTCTGATATAATTGGTGCGGCTCATTATTACGCTTTAGGTAACCCCTAAACCCTAAACCCTAAACCCTAAACCAGGATCACCTTCCATCTTGATGAAGCACCTCGCGGAGGGTGAGGCGTCTCCCCTTTACAGTGCCAGTTACCACAAAAAAGGTAATCGAATAGCCCCTTAACAAGGCCCCTGTAAGGACAGTCACTGCAAAAGGAAGTGACCCAACGGCTGGGAAGCATTGCGTTAAAGGCAGAGTGGCCCCTTGACGTACTTACTGGGCTATGATCTGACATATGAATCTTTGGGAATCTTTCTAGGGGCCCGTATAAATTCAATTGTACAGTATACTGCGCTTATCTTGTAGTGACAAATCCCCCCATGTTAGTCTCAAACACTCCCCCACCCCCCACCCTAATGTCAAATATGTCTTGCAATACACAAGGTGTCTTGTGGCGAATCTTTAGTCATGGGGGTGTGGGTGGAGGGGGTGATACTAGTATGAAACCGCAGGCCTTAACCCCTAAACTACAAACACCCTGAACCCTAAACCCTACTCTGTTTCTGCAAGGGTGATAAAGGACTGGCTTAGGTGGACCCCCCTCCCTGTTATAGTGACGATAGGCGAGAATAGGGGTTATATTAAGGTCCCAGTATGTCACTACTACAGGGTGGGGG